TCTGCTCTTGTCCTAACAGAATTATGTCCCCCAAATGAAAAACCCTGGGTTTGAGGGAAAGTTGAGTGTGTCAGAGACTGTCCTCTATCATTGTGTTTTCTCCATAATCTAAGACTGAATTAGAAGAACATCACAGATGCACGGTGCATTGGACATGGAGCACATGTATGCATTTAAATCACGTATATCTTACTTTTTTACTGATGTAATTGTGAAATATGTTCTTTTTGCATTCATAATTAGGGGGTGGAACAGATGGTGAAGGCTTAGTTTAAAATAATCTGTCATTAAAATAACCTAGCCTACTGGTAATTCTTCACTCTAACTGGAGTTAGGTCATAGGAAAAGAGTTTGGGCTGATTTTTTTTTCCTCTTCTGCTTTGGAAATAGAGAAGAAAGAACAGCTAAGTTCAGAGTAGTGATGTACATGTAAGTTGTATCTATAAGGGCACCACAGTAAGATTTCACTCTGGCATTTGGCTGCAGCAGAATATGCAGGAAAAAAAGGAAGCAGAGACAAACTACTTTGACAAATATAAATCCATTTAGCGCAATGCATTAAACATTAGTATACCTTCAATTACAAAGCTATAGTTAGTTTCATACCCTGCAAGGAAATAACATCATCATTTGACAAATACTGTTAGAGGCACTCAGCTTTGGGGGTTAGAGAAACTCTGCCTCACCCTTTATATGTTGCACTTTTGTCAGGGGATGCAAATTATAATTACAGGCATTATTATTCAGAGAGGTTGAAGCTCCTGACTTTTGTTTCCAAGCCTCACTCCTGCATGGGCACCTCATGGACTTACTGAGATGTGACAAAGGAAATCTCCTCTCAGCCCTATGGTGATGGCTTAGAACTCGTGTTAGTAAGTAATAGGACAACTGTCTTGATAAATCAGCTACTTGCATGCCTTTAAAATGTCTGTTTTATGGTTTTCTCTAAGATTTTGTTCTCCATCTGCTTTGAGGAAAGCAGATAGATTTCAGCATGGCTTCATAATAAATCTTCTCAAGGAGGGACCAGCATTAACATTTGTGTAGGTTCTTTTTCATCTTAATCCAACCTTAGTTAATAATCAGAAAATTCTACATACTGAGTAAGAAGATGTAATTAACCCTTTGACCCTAGAATCTTAATTGGCGCCTGTTGAAAATAGTGGGCAGTTAAAAAAAATTTAAAACTCGCCTGCAGTGATTGAAACAGCTCAGTGTAGAGCAGCTTTCTTGATTCGAATTTTTTAAAAATGCACAGAACTTTCAGATCAATCACATCTGGTTCCCAAGACTAACTGACTGAATGTTTCTTTCCTCCTTCCATCTTTTAAAATTCAGATACCCACATCAAACCAATACTGATGCTACTCTTAAAACTTTTCTGAGTAGCAAAATACAGCTAACTCTAGACAGGGATCACCCTGAGTCAGAAAGTAATAGCTAAGTAAAGAGTGACCTTGCCAGTCCACTCTGCACCTGGTTTTATATCCCATTCTTTATTTACAAGGTAATGTAACTTGAGTTATAGACCTTCATTTCCACTATAGTATAATTGACCACAATGACAGTTAAGCATAAAGGGAAAATGTAGCTAACCAGTTTTGTTTATCTCTGATAATGACTAATCTGACTAGTTGTTTTCCCCCCACCAAATTAACTGTTATTTTTAATTGAATTGACTGGTTGCTTTGTGTCGTGTAGACAGAGACTCATTTTAATCTCTGTACACAGAGACTCATTTTAATCTCACCAGGAAATTGGAACATGTGTTTAAGCCTCTGTTTCTGCCGAGGAGAACTGGCCAGTCCTTGGAATCGCCGCTGCTTCATAGTGTCAGGTGTTTAGCCTCCAGATACTCCTTCCCCTGCTGTGGTGTCCAGACCTCCTCTAGCATTTTAGTAAATACATGGGACATGAACCTAATGTTAAGAATTCATAATTCTTTCTCACCTTTAGGTGAGGAAATAAAGAATGTGTATTGATGGGAAATGAATAGCCCTCAGTGTTCTGGGAAACTATAAAAGCATCCAAGTCTAACACGAATCTTCCAAATGTCAGAAGATATTCCAGACTATGTTAGACATCTGTGGCATCAGAATCTGCAAATAATCTAATAGCTCCAAAAACAGCCTCTTGCCGAAAATAATTGCCATCTCTCTTAATAATTCTAGCATGTGTGATATAAGGAAAAGAGCATTGGTTTTGGTGGTAGAAAGGGACTCACTAAGCCTTAGTTGAGCAGTTGTTAGGGGCTGGCTAAAGTTGAATGAGACATTGCCCCACTGTTCAGAAATTCGGTCTCCTTAGGAGTTGAATAAAGCAACCAGGGCCATACAATGTCATAAATACTTGAACTATACTAATGGAGGGGATTTAATCGTGGCTCTGCCCCGAGTTAGCTGTATGACCTTGTCCAGCCACTTAGCACCTCTGTGCCTCAGTTCTCCCATCTGTGACACAAGGACTTAGAACACAGATCATCTCTAGGTCTGCTCTCAGTCAGCCTTTCCATTGTCACCTGTTCCCATAGATGTTCTCTTGTGATCACTCTTTGTGTATCCTAATCTGACAGTGTTGTTTTAAGATTTGAGAAGGTGGCTTGCACAGCTCTTAGTGATTGCAGGCCAGGCTATGGCTATCAGGTTGAATGAGAAAACCTAGCCAGGCCCTTGTCTCCATGGGGCAGCTTAAAAGGGGGAGAGTTGTAATCCTCAGGAGACATTTAATTGAAGGACACGGTGAATGAGATCCTTTCCAAATTTCTGCAGAAGCAACTTCTCTCCCTTTCACAGTGGTTTAAATAAAGTTCCCCTGTGCCAAACTCTAAGCCTGAAAGATTGGATCTCACCTGGGGTTGGTGGGAAGGGCTGGCAGTTTAGTCAAAGCTAAGGAGCCCAACTGTTCTCTTTGGTAGTCTTTTGCTCCCCGTCCCATTGCTGGTTCCAGGAGGGGCATTACAGGGCAGAGGTGGCCAGGTGGCCTCTTGTGGGAGTGACTTATGAGTGCTCTTGTCACCCCATTTCCTCTCTACTACCAATGAGAGGGTTCTATCATTTGAGCAAATCGTTCAAAAACAAATGATTGATTTTAAGAAGTAATAGGCTGCCTCTTAATGTAAACATTTGAACTTCAGAAATGCTAAACAATTTATTTTTTCATTAATATACACATACCAATTAGAGAGTCTTGGTTTTTAGTGGAAGACAGCGTAGTTATTGAGCCTGTTGGCTTTCCAGTCCCAACTCTACCATTACTAGGGACACGTGTGTTGCCTAACTTTACTAAGCCTCAGTTTCCTAGTATGCAAAACATAGATAATAATATAATTACCTCAAATGGTACTTATGAAAAATTAAAAGAGACAATACATGTAAACTGCTGAGCACATATTACTTAATGAACATGAAGCTATTATTATTATACTGTCTTAGCCAAATGCTTGTTTATTGTGTAATTTGCTTTTACGTGGAACAATGCAATGTGACTTTTGAATTGTTTCTAGGGCCCACTAAATAAGAGAAGGAGTTGGGTAATACACAGTTTCTGACAAGTCCGGCTGTAGAAAAAGGTCAGGAAGCGGGATCTGAATTTCATATGTACATAGAAATGCACACACACGTATTCTAGTGTGCATAGATACACATATACATATATACGGATACATATGTGGCTCTCCCCCTTAGAGTTCAGTATTTTAGGAGACTAAAATTGTTACTGAGATTTGAGGCAATACATTTTTCTAATTAAATTTTACATGCTTCTTTCACACTTTAATATTTAAGAATTATATCATTAATTTAGTGTTGCCACTTATCTTGTCCCCACTGTGGGTGTCCTATACTTCCAAATTCAACAGCCTCTGTAAATGCCACTCATCTTTAAAACTACTTTTCCCATACGACCAGTATTTGTATAGTCTGTCTGGTTAAAAATAAATAAATAAACAAAACAAAAACATGAGGGTGATGGGACATACAAGGTGTACTCGGATTACAGGGATTGGAAACAAATGCATTCATTCTCAGTGTGAGCGGCGCTCTGCAGTGGGAGTGTACGGTGATTTACACTCTTTATCACACTGAAAACACAACTCTCCATTTCAGAAGTGAACTAAGGTTCCAAGAGTTATAGGTGATGTGTAACAACATCCTTTCTTTTTTCCTTCTTTTGTTTCCATTCCAGGAGGCTTAGTAGAAAGTAGAACTATCACAATAAAACTTGAATACAGAGTTTTGCAAAACAGGATCACAGTTTGTATGGTCCCAGCCTATGTAAACAATCACCCACAATGTACTGACTCTTCCTATGTGTTCTACCACTTTAGGCCAAGGGTGTCACACTCATCTTCACCAGGGGTCACATCAGCCTCGCAGTTGCCTTCCAAGGGGCAAATACAATTTCAACTCCTTAACAGTTAAGGAATAGTTACATTTATACAGTCCTAAAATTATGTAGGCCCTTTGAAGGCAACTGCGAGGCTGACGTGGCCCCTGGTGAAGATGAGTTTGACACCCCTGCATTAGGCACTCAGAGTGGGGAGGGCATAATCCTTTATTAATTAACAAATTCCTGATGTCCACAGTAGCTCAAGTGGTGATTTTACTTGCTCTTTCTATGGGAGCATTTTTTCTCTCCTTTCATTACAATTTCCATTCCTGTTCAGCTATTAAATGGAGAGTCTTGCTGATTTAATCTCAGTGACTACTGAATCTCCCAAAATAAAGGCAATAGCTCATAAAACCAGCATGACCTGATTTTATACATGAATGTAATGTATCTTGATCAGATCAACAGGGACATAAGAAAGTTGTTGAAATAAAGGAAAGTTTGTCATCTTAATCCAGACCTTTAACTTATTCATGCAATGCTAAAAGATCTCACAAGTTTTGTTAAACGCATAGGGAAAACGGTCTTTAATATGGTGTGCGTTATTTTGTATCAGATTCCTTACTAAATCTCCATCGTATATGTTTATTAATATATTTATTTTTTTTCTGCAGTCCCTGGATGGCTTTGTATTTGCACTAAATCAAGAAGGAAAATTTTTGTACATTTCCGAAACAGTCTCCATCTACCTAGGCCTCTCGCAAGTAAGTAAAGCTATTTAGATTCTTGGCGGCGATTGTGAAGGATCCTTGGGTTTCATGCTTTTCTCCTTCCTTAGTGGATATTCTGTTTAGCACGAATTACCTAAGTTATTCTTTGATGGCCCTGCCTGCCTGTTCTCACAATGTCAAATGGGAAAAGGGTATGTCAGTTTGGAATGTTCGGAATAAACTTGTGCTCAAAAACCTTAGTCCCCTTCCTTACCCGCTCCCCACGCCCAAGGATCATTATTCATTTATTGAGAACAAATGAAAGTTTCTTCCCTCGGTTGTTTTGAACTTTAAAACCTCTGTGCCCGGTAGAAGAGGGACACCTGGGTAGCGCTTCCCTTGTGTCCTATTACTGGATGTTTATGGAGAACCCGGCATTACCCTGGGAGCTGACACAATGACAGGGAGTCATTTGGAGTCGAGAAATGCGGAAAGAGACCATTAAAATGGGTCGCAGGGAGGGTTCCAGCAAGGAAATATTCCACTGCCTTTGCAGATGCTTCTTCATGCTGACAGACAATTTCATAAACTTAGATCGCCTTTTATTACTTGCCGTTTAATTACTCACAGGTGTCTGTTAGAGGTTAAAGGAAAGAAAATGAGGGCAGATGGGGCAGGGAACAAAAGTCCTAGATGTTAGTTTTCGATATTCCCCTGGAATACAAAATTTTTACTTCCGCTGGATTCCAAGACACAGCCTGTATCTAAAGAATGCCTCAATGCCCTGAAGAAAAGTTTGCAATCCAACTAATTATCCAGATGTTTTCTCCGTAAAAATGCTGAACATCTGTATATTTGTGCCCATGCAGGCGATTGACTGAGTTTGACCCTTTTCATCTGGAGGTTTGGCAGAAGGGAAGTGCAGCCTGGGTGGGAGGGATTTTGTGTGTGTGATGATCTGCCAAGTCGGATAATCTACTTCTCATTCAGTTGCCCCTTGGAGCTAAAGATGGAGATAAGATTTGTCTCCTCTTAAGCAGGATCCACCCCAGACTCGTTGCTTCTGAAAGTTGGCACCACTCTAAGGAGGCCTCCAGTGTGGCTGGAACCTTTTGGCTGTTAGTGAGTTTGCTTGGTAATAGCTAAATCAAGAAAGACATTGGGAAATAATAAAGAGAGCGTTTTGGCATTTGAGGAAGGTCGGGGGCGGAGGGAAAACACTGCCAAATTTGATTATTTACTGTTGAGAATTAGAGCAAGGGCCCATTAACTCTTCCTTGAGGAGCATGCAAGCTATCTGCTATGGTGTGTAGATAGTAATTCTGTTTTACGTGGACTTCAGCAAACCAACTGATGCAAACTGAGCTGTTGTTAACTCAGTATTAGTATTCTTGCATCTCGTTGAAAGCTCTGGGTTTATAATTGCCTTTAATAGAATTTGAGCCTGGTCTTAATCTGTTCGGGACCTAGAATGGGGAATCTCCAATTTTGAAATTGGTGTGCCGCCATGATAATGCCGTGTAAAACCAGAAACACTGCTGTTTGTTGTTCTGCAACGTGCATGTTCATCTGCTTTTTGCAGACTCTCCAACAAAGTTTAATCAGCCAGTGAGGAAGAAGGATGAATAATTAGTTTAAGCAGGTAAATGCTAATTAGGGAACTCCTGAAAAGCATCCATTATATACTAGCTCAAAATACATATTATAGCCCTGGTTAGTGGTGTAATCCAAATTCTGTCAAGGCAACTGCATTTTCTGTAATTGAGATGTGTATGTTTGCTTTGCATAACAGATGGCTCTGTATGCTTAGACTGATAGCTAGGAAAATAATAATTGCATTATTCTGGCCAAAAGAATATTAGCTCTTGGGTTTTGGCCATTTCAGTCAGTCCTCCTGCCAGCACAGCATATGCACATATATGGATTGGATTTTCAAGGAAATTGATGCATCTGGAATAGTGTGGCCATCTGAAATATCATCTGTTCAAGAAGAATTTGGCTTTAACCCCTGCTGGTTGCTCCTTAAAAGCAGTTGATTTTATTGCTTCTCCACTGTAACATTAAGTCATTCTTGTCATAAAATCTGAGTCAGATCATCGAGGTTTCTGCAGAATAGAGCGGGTGCGCAGACATGGCCCAGTAGCTGGTGACTCCCAGGCAGCCACTCCCTGCTCATATGTGCTGGGTTTTAAAGTGTGCGTTTCTAGTCAGCATCTGGACTTCCTCGGGGCAGACGCTAGCCTGGTGTGCCCATGCCCTCTGACTGCGTGTGCTCAGTGTTGCCAGAAACAGCCAAATGTGCCAGTAGAGGCTCTAAGGAATGAGACAGAGGTTGTCCTGCAGAGGCTAATGCAGCTGAAATGATGAAGGGTACTCACCAGAAAGTGAGTTTTTTATATACCAATGTATGCATTTAGAGTTCAGAACTACGGTTTAATAATAGTTCTGCATCAATGTGAAAACAATCTGTTAAGTATGGTATGCTTTTAAATGGCCACAGAATGAGGGGAGAAAGGGCTATGCCAAAACTTTGGGAAGGGATTTCTAACCCTGTTAACATGCTAAGTCCTGATTGGGTAATTAAGGTTCCTGAGACACAACCTTTCCCAGGTCTCCTCAGTGCCCTCTGCAGTTGTGGGAATGCGACCTGCTCATGGTGACATACACTGTAAAACACAAAGTAATTGAGTAAAATGCTTATTCTTTTATGCACGCACCCTTCATGAAATGCAAACCAAATGCTCCACTTCTGTCCTACAACTTTGCATCAGTGGTTATTCTACCAAATTCTAGACAGTGATAAGGAATCTATAAAGTTATAGTTCCTCCTTTTCTTTTTAAATAGTTTCATGAAATAAAGACAACGTGAAACTGTACCATCAAAGATTTTGGAGTGACATGACTGAGGAATATTGTGAGCACGGCAGTGTGGTAGAGCATAGTTCTGTCTGTGTGTGTAACTCTCAAGGTATTCCTTTCCTTCCTCAGTGTTATTTTTCTTCAACACGTAAATAAATGTGTCTTTAACACAGCTTATGTTCAAGAAAGAATTCATGTTCTCTTTGGCTCATGAGAAGACTGAATAAAGGAAGTTCTGCTGAGCTCTGTTGTGTGGCAAGAACATAGAGACAGCCAGAGCAGATATTCCATCTGTACTCCACCGAGGGTAGCGACTCCTGATGGCCGCGGTGTCTGTGTGTGCCAACACCTCTCTTTAACGTGTTTTCCTATTGTCATGACGATGGGAATGGAGGATCCATGATGATGTCTGAACTTCTTCAGCAGCCCTATTGACTTGGCCAGAGATACATATTTAACCTAACATCCAAGATGTTTCAGGTTGTAGAAATAGATACTGTTGACTTGCTTCCCTTGGTGAAAATGATTTTCAGTGACTCATCATGAGGCCTTATCTTAAAGAAAGACCCCTAAATATCGATGCTGAGTTTGGTTTACATGGAGATTAAATGATTTCTTATACTTGGTCATGGCCTTCAGAGCTGTTAAGCACAACTCTGCTCTCTAGCTGTAATGGAATAGGCAGGAGCAAAAATGAGAGGAGAAAACAGAGTAGATTTCCTAACACTGAAAATGTAGCAATAATATATACCCAGCTTTTATGAAATCTCTTTCAACCTGTAAGAGGCTTAATCATCAAGAATCCAAAAGAGACTTTATATGATGAATAAAAAACATTTCTAGTTTGATATAGGATTTAAAGCAGCTTAGAGAAATATTTCTTTGTTGGCCTATACCCTCCACTTACAACAAAGGAACAAGCTTACATAAACATATGCAATAAAAAATAACGGCAAAACAGAACTAAGGTATAAGGGAAAAAGATGTAGGTAGATAATCTTTTACCACAGGATAGGAAAACACAATAGAAGCTAACAAGAAGGGATATAAATGGTCTGACAAAGCTTCAAATTTAGCTATGAGTGTCCTGTTAGCCAAAGCAGAAAGGAAAATATAGCCAACCATCAAAATAAGGAAGCATCCCTTCTTAAGGAAAGAGAAGTTTTCTGAGCCAGAAAGAGAAAAAAAATCTCAAACACAATTTTGGAAAGGAATATTATGTGGATTATATGTATTGATTTGCTTCCAGTGGAGGCCACATTTAAAGCAAAGCTGTAATGACCCGTATAACAAACACATACATATTGCAAATCTCACAGGCAGGCAGAGGACGCCCCTCCCCACTCAGCTGTTGGTGTGCCAAAGATTATTTTGAGAGTTATGTTCTGGCATCGAGGACTTAAAATAGCATTGATAGTTTGATGGTTTATGTGCTTCTAAATCAGCTTTTACTATTCCACACACAAATCCTGCATTTTCTTTTAAATACTGATGAGAAAGTTAACATTATAGTTGCCATAGGCAGAGACCACGGGTGTTAGTTAACCAGAGGATAAAAAAAAAAAACATAGCTTCTGAAAACATTTTTTTCTTGAAAGTAAAGTTGAGAGATGATGATTCTGATGTACACCTAGGCCAGCAGAATGTTTTCAAGTTAACAGAGAGTCCTCTTTGAAAACATGTGGAGAAAGAAGAACCCTCCTGCCCTGGTGTGGGGTATGCAGACTGGTGCACCCACTGTGGAAAGCAGTATGGAGTTTCCCCAGAAAATTAAAAATGGATCTGCCTTATGACCCAGCAATTTTACTTTTGGGAACATATCCGAAAAAACCCAAAACACTAATTTGAAAGAATATGTGCATCCCTATGTTCATTGCACTGTTATTTACAATACCTAAGATTTGGAAGCAGCCCAAATCAGTAGAAAAATAGATAAAAAAAAATCTGTGGTATGTTTACACAGTGAAATACTACTTGGCTGTAAAAAAAAAAAAAAAAAAGAAAAAGAAAAAAATTTACCCTTTGCAACAGCATGGATGGTCCTGGAGAACATTATGCTACTTGAAATAAGCCAGTCAGAGAAAGCCAAATACCATACGATTTCACTCATATGTGGAATCTAATGAACAAAATAAACTAACAGTCAAAATAGAAACAGACTCATAGACAGAAAACAGACTGACAGCTGTCAGAGA